GCAATAAGACCATACCTCCTAATCCTTTCCAACATTTCCACCAATAGGACCAAGCAATCAAACTTGGGAGCCTCTGGAGGCCATTCTCGTGCAAACCAGCACTCCCTCCAAGAAGCTAACAACTGCCAATAGCTCCTCAGTTGGGGATGAGGGCACATGGGTGGTTTTTTTTTTTTTTTTTTTTTTTTTTTTTTTTTTTTTTTTTGTTTTTTTTTTTTTTTTTTTTTTTTTTTTTTTTTTTTTGCTGCCCACTTGACTTTGATGCACAGGCAATGTGAGGACTTTCCAGCTTATTAAAAAGAATTCCTTGCAGGGCAAGAGAGAGGTAGCCAGGCAGTAACTGCTGCATCATACTAAAGGGACCATGCCCAGGACCTTAAAGATGTCCAAGAACTTCTCAGAGCAACAGTTCGGGCAGTGATGGCTGTAGGGTGTAGTCTGATGTTAGTTTGAAAGTGGCAGTGTCCTGCCAAAGGGGACAGCCCAGGCCTGATACAAGGTACTAGTGGGGTGAAATGAGGCAGCAAATCAGGCTGGAGTTCTGTGTCTGAATTAAAAGCACATAATTACAGAACTCTAATGCTTGAGACATTACTTAGATATGTTAATATGAGAATGATCATCAATGCTCTCCTCTCCTGAATTTTTAAGTGATAAAAACAGCTTGTAAAAATGTGAATTCAAACCATTTTTTACTTAAGAGAGTAAATTTCTAATTTAAAAATAAATCATGTAAAGTTTGTGGTTTGGTTGTTAGACACATGATGCTGAAAAAAAAATGAAGCTATGATAATCATTGCAATTTGACCACAAACAGGGCCACATATTCTGCCTTTTAAAATTCTATTATAATATTGTTTAGCACATACACACACACACACACACACACACACACACACACACACACACATGCACACACGACAGAAGGTGTTGCTAGGATTTCAGCTGGTGGTGATAGTCTTGTATTTTGCCAATGAGTTATCCCCACAGTCCCCTGAAGACTTTTCTTCCTTGTACACAAAGTTTTAAGGCCTTGTAATCACAGTTTGATCAGCAAATACCTTTCATCTTTGTGCTTTTACATATAGGGAGCATGGAATGAATGCATCATCCATGTTGGGAGCTGAGTCCAATCCACAGGTGTCACATCTTCACACACAGGCTATTGGAACTGATGAAGGGATGGAAGGAACATGGAACCAGATTGCATATGGGTATCACATAGCCATATTTACATAGGCTTGTTCTCTGTGAATTCTTATGAAAGATGTCCTGACATTATTTTAAAAACTAATAATAACAACAACAATATAATACCTAAGCACCACATGCAATTTTAAGGAAGAAGACAACTGGTAAAAAACTTGGAGTGATCAAGAATTTGTTCTGCTTGGTCAGTGAATACAATTATGACTTTGTTTTTACTCAGTGAGCTTCAGAATTTCAATGAAATGTCATACTGTAATAAATGGATTGGGCATTTAAATGAAGGAGGGGCTGCCAAGTTGCATGAAGCCTGTGTCACCTGCAAGAACTATTACTTCAGATTTGTAAGAAAGTTGAAACCATCCAACAAATTTCTACAAATCCTTTCCCAGATTCTCAATATGGTAACAATTTATCATAATTTCCATTGTTTTTTAGTGAAAGCATTTAATGATTAGTTAACAATATTATGTCACAGTGATTCTTTTAAATTCAGTACAATCCCAGACACCTGCTGGGAAGAGACTTGAGGAACAGAACCCAAAGCCATTTAGGAAAGAAACATTTTTACTGCTATGTTTTTTTTAATTAGCATGTTAGTTTAGATATTAGTGGGGTACAGTGTGTGATTTCTGATTTCAACACATGAATATAATGTGCACAGAAATCAAATCAAGGTAATTGGGATCTAAGTATTATGTCATGATTTATGACTTTCATATTTCTCTGTACATGCTTAACTACACACACACACACACACACACACACACACACACACACACACACCTCTCTTTCATTCCCTGAACCATTTAAGCTGTTGTCAAAATGACCCATTATATCTAAATCATTATGTGTATTATTACACATAAATTATTTTCAATAGTCACAGCTCAAATAATCCAGCTCACAAAATTAAGGTAAAATTATCAAATTTACAGACTTACTCAACTTTTTTCTGTTATGTCAAATATACTTCATAGCTACCATCCCTATATTCTTCTGGTCCAGGGTCCAATCTAGAATGACTATTACATTCAATTGTCATCAAGTCGTTTTTGTAAAAGCCTGTCAGCTGTCTGTCTGACAGTCTGTTAGTAGATTCAGGTTATGCATCTCCAGTATGACCCACACAAATGTGCGCTCTCTACAGGCGAAAAATGGTATTTGCCCGTGGGCTGGTGATGTTACCTTGGAACAGCTTAATGTAAGCGGTGTGCACCAGATTTTTAGTGAAAAACTGACAATTTTCTCTCTTTGTATATTATTTTCCCTATATTGAAACCACAAGTCACTCTATTTCTCATCAAATTTCCACCTAGGAGTTGCAGAATTCATTGATGAGTCTCATTCCAATTAGGTACCATGGTAGCTACCAGTTGGTATTTTTCTAAATCCAGCATTCATTTCACTTATCAGCCATTCTATTGTAAGGAGACCATTCCCATATCCTCATTTATCCACTCATTTATTTATATCTGTATGGGCTGGTGGTTATGCTGCAGCTATAATTCATCACTCTGGTGCTCAAGTTATCTCTGATTCTGGCTGTCTATTGGGCATTTCCCCATCATCCTCTGAATATTTTCTTTACGACAGAGACAGATATTTTTGGCACATACATGCTTTCCTTCCTAGTCTGGGAATGAGTTTTCAAAAAGGACGGGCTTTTATTTTTAAAGTTTTTTTTTTTCTAAGTAGAGAATTTAGGGATCAAGTTCTGAAATTTAGTTATTGCACACACTTGTAGTTGGGCCTCTAGACTCTTGCAGAGCAGCTAACCAGGAAACAGGGGCTGGAGAGACAGTTCAGTGGGCAAACTGCTTGTGCAAGCAGGAACATCCCCAGCACCCAATCAAATGTGTGTGTAAACCCAGCCAGGGGAGACAAAGGAGACAGGAAGATCCATAGGGCTCACTGGCTAGTTAGGCTATTGGTGACATCCAGGTTCAGTGAGAGACTTTATCTCAGAATTAAGGTGGAGACCCATGAGCTAGATACCCAGACACTTCATATTGGCCTCTGGCATCCACAGCTAAGATAGAACCTAGGCCAGGAAGTTCCCAGGGCCAACTGCTGTTTCACATTTTCCACCAGGCTCCTGCACTGAGCACAGGGCAAGAGAATTTTAGACTTTCCTACTGCCTATGGTCCCACTGTGGATTAGTCCTCTTTACAAATTAAATACACTGCCTTGCTTGCCATTGTGTTTATTGTCATCCTCTTGGGTGGTAGTTTATGATAGACATAAATTTTCTCTTATCCAAACTTAGAGTTTAGTGAACACAAAAGATGTGTGTGTGTGTGTGTGTGTGTGTGTGTGTGTGTGTGTGTGTGTGTGTGTGTGTATTGGGGTATATGTCTAGAAAGCAAATGTTAAGGTAATAATTTAGGGGAGAAAGGTATTAGGATTAAAATGATAATATGTTAATATGTTGTTTTGAAACATAAAACATTTTTTAAATCAAAATTTACTAATAGTGTTTTTTGCTTCCTAAAAATAGCGATGGTTATTTCTTGCTTTGTGATCCTCTCACCTGTCTTTCTCCCCAGGTTAAAGACTGTTCTTTTGTTCTTGCTTTTTTTTTTTTTTTTTTTGAGACAGAATCTCATACACACTTGGTTGGCCTCAAACTCACTATGTAGTCTAAGATGACCCTGAACTTTTTAAAAGATTAATTTTATACTATTTATTAGTGTGTGTGTGTGTGTGTGTGTGTGTGTGTGTGTGTGTATGAATGAATGCATATGGAACACGTTGCTTGTGTGGAGGTTAGAGGACAATTTTTGGGATCTGGGGATAAAACTCCAGTTAGCAGGCTTAGTAATGAGTATCTTAACCCACTGAGCCATCTTACAGGTCTATGAATTTGAACTTGTGACTTTCCTATCTCCACCTCTTGAGTGCTACATAAGAGGTGTTACTTACTAACTGGTTTATATTGTGCTAAGGATCAAATCCAGGGCTCCGTGCCTGTTAGACATGCACTCTGTTAACTGAGCTACACCCCAGCCCCTAAAAGCTGCTCTTCAATATTGCTTATTTGGCTGATTTAGAAATTCTAGTCTAGAAAACTGCTGAGGAAGGTTCCTAGGAAATCAGTGTCAGTACCAGCTGATCATGAGCCTCATTATGGCAGGTTCCACAGAACACTGCCTGGCATAGCTGACACCACACAAAAGGGTGGGATGCAGACACAGGCATGCTCATCTTTTCCCTCGTTCCAGCAGCTGAGCAAATAGGGCTCAACTATTCATTAACTAGAAAAGGAATAGGTTGCACATGTCAACATGGATACTGATTTTTCTTTCTTTGTACAGCTAAGAAGGTGGCAATATCATATAACTGTAGAGCTGAACTAGGGGAGTTTGGCTTCCTATGAAGAATTCCACCGCCTATTCTCGGCTTCTCTAATACATAAGTACTACTGGTCACTTTGGGGAGATTAGCTCTGGAGATCACCAGTGGTACAAAGGCTATTTCTTGCTTTGTGATCTCCTCACCTGTCTTTCTCCCCAGGTTAAAGACTGTTCTTGGGTTTTTGCTTTTTCTGAGACAGGATCTCATATACATCTGGATGGCCTCAAACTCACTATGTAGAAGTTTTGTTAAGTGTAACTTTATATTATTTATTTATCTAATTTGTACTCAAAGTGACCAGACCTGTGTCGGTAGTCTAGGATATGACAGTAGCAGTGTACATATGATACATGGGTCACATACACAAGGAACACTAAGAAAATAAGCTACCAGGCAGGAGTATGACACCAGGAATGATAGCTTCTTGAAACATGAGAATTTTTAAGTACTTTATTAAATACTATATTCATTGTAAAGGCTTTAGCCGTCATAATCACCATGATACAATACCTGTGCAAAAACACCCACTGAACAAGCTTGAGAGGTATAGATTGTGTTTGGAAATCCATGCAACATTAAAAAAATCATCTGATATAAAAACAAATAATCAGAAGCATGAAAGCCCACATGTTTTAATAGAAGCCAATCGCTGATTCCGGGGTAACAGCTGCGTGCATGTCTCGAGTCATATTGCACTTTTCCTTCAGCTTGGACTGCAGTAGAGTGTGCTCCACAACCCCAATCCTAATGTCCATCTGAACGGTTTCTTGCTTCAGTTTGGTTAAGCTCTGCTTAATCTTCACCAATGGAGCTGTAGAAGACAAACAGCATGGGATAAAAATGTTCCTTTGGAGTATCGGTTTGTTAGAGAATTGCCTGACATTTCCTCACTTTGTCTTCAGCCAGAAGTAGGGTTAAAATGCAGCCAGTGACTCGCTGACATTCACACAGCTTTGCACTGGTATTTTAAACACCTGAGACTTTGCGGATGGGAACTGGTTCAATATTTGATGTCCTGAGGCTGAATTTTCTAACTTTTCCAGGAAAAGAAGTGCTAAGTGGGTATTTAAAGATGTGTTCAACATGGTTTTGTCCACAGGAACAGGGAACAGAATAGTTAGAGAGGGAAGAAAGGTACATTTGAAATACAAATTGAAAACACTGCAAGAAAATCCCCACATCCCACTCTATCCCCAGTCTGCACGCAGAGCATCAGAACCCTAGACAATCTTACTGACATAACAAGCCTGAGGTGACGACCATTGGCCTGTGTCAAAGTAAACAGTTTGTAATGGAGGATAATTACTGAGAGATTAATTCTTTCCTGTTTGAACCCTAATCAGTCAGGACTTCCTGGAAGGAGGGGGAAAACCCAAGGGTCATCACATCACTGTCCTGGTGTGATTTGGGATATTAAGGTCATTTTGTACATAAAATGATGAAAATAGAATAATATGTTTTAAACACTGTTGGAAGAAAGCACATACTTAAATATTTCCCACTCTTAGAGTTATTAGCTTGAATAAACACAATCTAAATTACAGTAAAAATAGTTTTTCTCAGTTGTTTCATAGTGAACTTAATATTCTGAGGATCAGATACTTTTGTACCACACATCTCTCTTAAAACAAGCAACAATAGACTACTATTATCTCGATAGATCTGCGTGCGAGTGTGTGCAGGCACGCATGTGCTCACACACTTGTGTGTATGCACAGATTTCAGGAGTTGGTTCTCTCCTTCCATCATGGGGTCTGAGACAGAACTGAGGATGCCAGGCTAAGTGGCAAGCACCTCTACCCATGGAGCCGCACCGCTGACACACACAGACGTCTGCTGGCTGGTCCTACTTGACAGAGGCGCTGTGGAAAGTGGTTCCCGAGTTCACCCCAAAGGGAAAGTGTACTCACTGCCATCTGTCATGCTGCTGCCCTTCTCTTCCATCTCTTGTTTCACCTTCTCTAATTCTTCTGTAACCTTTCAATGAAAACAACAACAACTCCTGTGAGTGCTACATTTTGATGAACCTTGACAGTTTTTGAATGCTGTATGGAGGAAAATCAATTTAGATATAAGGAAGTAAGACATTAAGAATATTCAAATCCAAGACAATGGGTGCAGACACACAAAGCTTTTCATTTTTTAAGAACTGCTTATAAAACGCCAGCAAATTACTTTCACATTAGCTTTCCTCATGCTGCGATATTATAGAAGAAAAATCAAGTTGTTTGCAATATGAAGCCCTCAGACTGTGCAATTATCACTAGCATTTACCATGCTGCTCTCTAAAAACTAGTTATTAGTCAATACAATGTTACTAGGATGCTGATTTGGCTTTCTAGGGATCTTTCTTAATAGTATAGTTCTTTGGAGACCATGTCACCTCTTCTCGTCTAGGCCAGTAAGAAAATGCTTATATCCTATGGTGAGATACAAAAATGCTCCATTGCTTCATTCCAGGCAAGGAAATCTGACCTCTAGGAGACATGACTGCTGTCATACAGATTTCAGATGAAGCTACACTTGATGACAAGATAACACCACTGCAGCCTCTGTGGGCAAAACTCTACATCAGCAGTGTAATCTCTGAAATTATACAGAAAATATAATCTCTACAATATGAGAAATTGTTTTTACATAATCTAGGACTAAGCTGTAATTACTGTAACCTAGTCGGCTTTATTTCTATCATGCTGCTGAGTAAAACCTTCCCAGGGAATAAAGTGCTCATCCAGGCAAAGCAAATTAATTTCTTCCAGGCACCTGAAACATCACAACTGGGGACAACTACTGACGCCAGAGGACTAAGTGGTCCCCGGACGCCCTTCAAGTGTTCATTTACCCCACATTAGTGAGCACTTTCCTTCCGAGGAATGTTTTATTTGCCTAGAAACACAACAGGACTAGAGTCTAAATATTTCTAATGGCATATTTTAAAATAAATATTTCTGAAATATCCTTCATAAGAGAAACTTAATTCCCACACCAAGGCTTATGGAAATTGTGCTGCTTTTGTAACTATATACAGTCTTAGATCTCAGTCTCATACTGGCTTCTGACATTGTTGTCAATTTTTACTTTTGAACCTCATCATCTCCCTTGCAAAATGAGAATATATATCAGGTCTTTCTTCCCTTGTAAGACCAAGGGAAAGATGCAGTGAAACTGCAAACATTTCAGAAGTCCCTGAATCAAAAGGTTTCAAGTTACCTCGATTGTAGATAGAGCTATCCTCTGGACCACACACAAATCATTAACAGCAACTACTGACAGCTAAGCTTTATATCTTGAAGAGTCACATTGGCACTAGCTATAGACTCTTCCCATGGTGCTTTGCCCACTCTTCTATTATTAATTATTATGTCAAATAAAGATTAGGAAGGTTATCAATGTGCTGATAATTTGAGCAAATTTAATGATTAATTTAATTCAGCAGCTTTGGACGTCTTAAAGAAACAAGGGAGGGATAATTGGTTCACTCATTAGTGAACTTCTAAAGCTGAGGACTGCATGTTGGGAGGGAACCTCAGTGAGCCCAGCAGCATTCAGTCTGGATGTCTCTGCCTGGCTTGGGCCCAGCTGACAGGTGAGCAGCGCATCAGTAGACAGGTGTGTACCTCAGACAGGACTCTGGTCCTTTCCGTTACTCCGCCATTTCCCTGCTGGTAGCGCTCCCTTGCCTGAGGAGGAGAACAATGTTAAATGACAAATCCGGAACAGGAGCAGATTACTTAAATATGACCTCTGTGTGGGCACAGTTTCTGCACAGCATTTTATGACACCCCCTTATTTGTGAATACATTTATGAAAGTGACATTTAACTGTAGCTATTTCATGTCCTTATTAATAGGCACCATGCATTTAAGTGAAGCACTATAAAACGATGAACTGCTGCAGCCTTACCATAGCAGCTGTGTAACTCACATGGGCACAGTTGACAATAAAAACTGCCCTCCACCCTTTCTAAACACTCTGGGAGGATGACTCTCGGTCAATCTAATTTGTGTGCTATGCAAGGGAAAATTAGTTCTAAAAAGAAAAAAAAAATCAATCAAAGTAGAGTGTGAAGTTCAGCAATTAATAAGGATTAATAAAGTAGATGCCAGTGCAGCCAACTAGAATATGTTCTCAGGAACTAATCTAGCAATCAATTATTCAGTATTAGTGTTAGATACACAGTAGCTTTAACCAGAGGGCATTTGTACAGTAAAAATGCTCATGAATTCATGTATATATAAGGGAATAATAAATAAAACGAGAGTATGAGAGTATGATGAAAAGTGAAAGTTATTTTCAACTTGGTCTTTGAGAACTTCTGAAAATATGAGTTATCTCAAACTTATTTTCATTGTATTTCTACCAGTATCCTTATAAAATTATCACTCACTGAAATTTCATAAGTGTATCCACAATGCATTCTGATCATTTTTTACCCTCATTGCCTTCTCCCAGCACCCCTCCCACTGAACCCCTTATTTGCATGCATTCTTACTAGTCTAACTTAACATCAGGACATGCAAGATTTTCCTTATTCATTCCTGAGGAAAGCTAAGGGATCCCCACGGCTGTTTTCAGAAGCAAGCGATTATATTTTTTTGAACAAACTTCTGAAACATGAAAAGAATGAGAAATCGGTTTCATCAAATTCATTAAATTGTTTGGCTCTGAATTTATTTTGCTTTCATATTCCTTAGTATGTAGCTGTATGCCATTGTAGCAAGGGCCATTTCTTCCCTCTGACACACACTATTCTTTCTCCAGCTTTTACAGTGAATTATCAACAACTTAGAAATGAAACACAGCATCCTAACACTCTCCCCTTGTTCTAAGTCAGGATTGCCAGCAACAAATCTGTATTTATCTAAATAAAACAAAAAGGTGTGTTTAGGGACTCCTGGGGGATAATCATTTCTATCACATATAAAGTAGAGAGTTCTCTCCTCCCTGTCTCCCCCTCCCCCCAACTTCAAGTGGGCAGAATGCATATGCTTTTGTTGATGAAAAATTTTAAACATGATATATTCTTTGATCAATTCACACTTGGATACTTGGTGTTTAGATCATATCCACCTCAAGCTCTCCTTTCCCAATTTACAATTTATAAACAAAATATGCTGATTTAGGGATTAGGGTCAGGAATTGGAATAAATCCCCCCAAAGCATTCTTATATTACCTCACTCAGCTGGGCCTGGGCCCCACGATATTCTTGAACCAAGTGCTCAAGTTGATTGTTGATGTACTTTTCTCGGCTACCAATCTTTTCCAGAGTCCGGCTAATTTCATTATGGAGCTTGTCCAAAAATCCCTAGAAATTTCATGGGATTTTAGTAGATAAAAAGAGTATGTAAGTTTTGCAAAACTGGTAAAAATAAGTTAAATATTTTTCAACACACTTCACAAATCATCAATCATGTGTGCAAAAGATGACAGTCTGAAACTTCAACAGCAAAGTTCATGATTAGAGACACTTTAATTACACCACAAACACACACACACACACACACACACACATTAAAGAAGCCAGATGAGAAGGTTCAGCAGGTTCAGCTCTGTAATCCAAGGACCCAGGAGGCTGAAGTAAGGGTACTGCACCTGGACCCTGTCTCCGAAAAAGAAGGGCCTGGCAGTGTCAGCCACCTTTTGTCCTCACACAGCTACACATCCAAAGCTTACATCATTGTAATAAGTTGTATATAAACTACAAAATCAAAGCAGCCAAGGAATGATATGACCTTCTGAAGTCACAGTTCAAAGCGGATGGAAATACCACAGTTAGAAGCAGAGTCCCTGATCTGGAGTTGCTCTATCCTGGGACCCTTGGCTTTGCACTCTAGCTTGCTTCTTTGTGCCATTCTCTAAAGATCCCACTTCTGCCATGGCAACAAGGCTGGGAGAGCTACAAGTCCTAGCCTTTGTCAGGCTGGGGTGCATGCAAATATTAGGAATCAGGAGAAATACTGATATGTGTCCAAAGTATCTATTGAATATATATATGTAATATGTGATATTCATATATACATATATATATTTAAAATACAGATGGATTGTAGAAGTGTACTACTCTGTCTGAGTATAAATAGCTTTTATATAAGTAGCTTGATTCCTTGGCATAAGCACTAGTGCTGTGAAGATGTAATGTAGTATATGCAATTAATCATCTCCTGAAATATAAGTATTGTATTTGTTCTCCTTCCATGCTCTACCACAATAGACCTAGATGAGTAAATCCATGTTGATTTGTCTGAACTAATTCACATACCTTGGTTTCCTTTAGAGCAGATTCAATTCCACTTTTGTGCTGATGCATTTGGTCAACATGGATCCTCCAATCCTATTAACATAAGCATACACAGGAACAAATTGAAAGCTACCACATTTTCTCCTTTCACCTGTCTGCTGTGAAGTTGAGTTCTTTATCCTTATTACTTGGTAGCTGTCCTATTTCAGGTGGCAGAGTCCTATATATAGCTTGCAATCAGAGTGTAAAGAAGCATGTGTAGGGCACTTTAGGATAAAAGGTCCTAAGTAAATGTAAATTATTTTATGTGTTCACAGAGTGATATATGGTAATTTGAATACAAATTATTCTAGCACTGCTGGTGGTTAATATTTATGACTACCCATCAAAATGAAAAAAAATCTAATTATTAGCAAAGAAATACTTGCTTAAGCAGTAACGATTATGTTTGCCAGAAGCAACTCTCAACTCTACTCAAATATCATGTATCAAAGATTAGTTTGTCTCTTAGAAATGAAAATAGGCTTTTTCTTTAGCAAGACTTCGGAATCTCACTCTTAATAAAGGAAGTCTGTACTGATTACTGGAGCCTACTGCGGCTGGCCTCATTTTTAAATTGATGTCAACTGTGTAATCCCCTAAAAGATACCTTCAAAATATTTCAGTTTAGATCATTAGAAGTAAACACTTTAAATGACTTTAGAAATACCAATCATGAGAGGTAAATTGACGTAAGTGATGGGACTAGGCTAGTCTCAATCTCCTAAATCTGTTTGCATAAATTGACAGGCTTGCTTGCGATATCTGCAGAATTTTCTGAAGGAAAAAAAAAAGTGAATAGTTCACTCTGTTGACTTCTTTACTTTGAAACATGCCCATGACAACAGGGTGTATAAATGTCTTGGGTGCTTCAAGCATACCAAATATCAACTTATAATTTATCTACTGCAGAAGATCTCAAGAAGCACCTCGTCTCACACTCATCATCCCACAGAAAAACAAGCAGAGGCCTGGCCACAGAAGAGGGTGGATGGAGTTGAGGCCATGTGCATAGTACTGTAAGTTCTTGCTTGACACATTCTGCCCGTTCAGGAGTAAGGGGATGACAACTGTCAGCTGACACTAGTGAGGATGGCAAAACAGAGAACAAACAAGCACTGCCCTTCTCTGGACCCTTCTGCACCATTAACAAAACATCTCAAAATACAAAGGCTGGAAAGGACCTTCAAGGTTATTTCCTTAGGTATTTAACAATTAGGTAGCTCAACATTTTCATTTTACAGTTCAAAGACCTCTTTACCACCCAAGTCTGACTGTGCATATCTGGCAAAGGACAAGCCCCTTCCCATTCAGCAACCAACACTGGAAAAGTATGTGCAGAAGCAGGAGATGGGAACTCAGTTAGTCTAGGTAACACCTTCATGGAAGAGAATGAGCCTGATGAGTGTCATTATTCATTAGAACAATGGCAGCACAAATTGGACTCCAAGGGGAAAGGGGTGTTTGGGAGGGAGTAAATGTAATTAAATCACATTATATGAATTTATCAAAGAATAAATAACAATTTAAAAGAGAAACTATTATCTAACACCTCTTAAAATTGTTCATATACCTTGGCTCCAAAAAAGCTTTTAGAAATCTTAATACTAACATTAAGTATTTACACATCTTTCTCTCTACCTACCACTCTATCTTTGTCTGCTATTCTCCAAATAAATGTATACAGAAACACACACACACACACACACACACACACACACACACACACACACTTTTATCTATTACACATACATTCCTAATTTATGATAATGGAGATAGTATGTGGTCCCCCTTTTCTACCCAAAATTATATACACAAATAGATGTTTGCAAGCATTGATTTTCAAAATAGTTTGAGAGCAGCAGCAACACTTGACTTATCCATGTTAATTATGATAACGTACATTGATATAAAACTCCACAGAGGAGCTGGAGTTTCAATGGAGCCTTAAGGCACAAGTAACATCTCAATGGGGTATATACAAGAGGAGAGGAGAGGAAGGTTAGGATGAAAGGATGATGCAAACACATAAAATGTACAGAGTATATCAGTGTAGGCTGGCTCAAGTACAAAACACACACCTCTGGAGTGGGAGGTAGAACGGATTGATCATGAAGAAATAACACTGAAGAGGTGGAGTAAATTGTTTCACGGCTTTATTACTAACAAGTGAGGAGTGTGGTTTTTACCACGTGGACAATGGCATGCTATTAAATGTTGTTGGTTTGAATTTTAAAGTCAAGCCTGTGCTTTCAAAAAGGACCCACTAGGAAAGCAAGACTGGTGGGAGCCCAGTCAGGAGGCTGGGGTGGTTCTGCTACACAGACTTGAAAGGAAGAGCAGGATCCATCCAAAGGACACTGCGCAGGCTGGCCATTCTTACCTGGGAAAGTGTATATGCATGGGGCTGGGGAGGAAGTGGGAAGTAGAAAGATAATCTCTACGGGTTCTTGATTGACAAGTGAATGGAATAGTGAGCAATGCAACATGTAACAAGAGCAGGACAGACTAGGGAGTTAAAAATAACAAGGAATTTGGTTTTGGACCTGTTAAATTTCTCTAATTTTTATAAGCAATTAAAGTACAACACTAGTCATGATTTAGAATTATCTGCCAGAAAAATCCAAATACATATCTTATTAAAATCTCCATGGACATATTTCCTGATTTTTAAAGAAAGAAAACAAACAATGCTTTAAAATATTCTTATCTTTTAATCCAGAGATTTTAACTCTAGAACGTATTTCCACACCAAACTGGACATACACATAGATTCCTGCACAGCTTTCTGTTAAAGTAAAATGTCAGAAAAGAATCTCACTAATTTTGTATCATTCATTCAACTGTTACAAACAATGGACACAGTGTAAAAGAATTCTTAAAACTTCAAAAGCAAACAGAACTCTGTGATTCACTGTTCAGAGATACACATAAGTAAAAATACTCAGAAAAGGGGGGAGAGCATCTCAGAACAGTCCAGAGACTTGAGAATGGTAGTTACCATGGGTGGGAAGAGACACAGAGGAACACACTCTTCAAAACTCAAGTCAGGAAAGAGACTGGTTTACTTTTGAGATTTGACACTCTGTATTTTGTATTACATGCTCATTAATATGCATTAAATGCTAAGTTGTGTCCCTTTAGTGATCAGCAAAAATGTATGCTTAATAACATGTGGATAATAGGAAACACAGCCCCCACAGATTAGGTATTTAAATTATTAAAAGTTAGTATTATATATATAATTTAAGTGTATATATTATGGATGTGCTTGTGTGTTTTTATATTAACACATGGGTTTGAATATATTATAATTTAAGTTTCATTTTTATTCTTTACATTTCTCTAAGCTTCCTAGAGAATTTTATCACATTAATTATCATAGGAAAAAGAGAAGGAAAAGAAAATCTCATAGTTGTCCAAGAAGTTCCTGAAAAGGTTTTAACATAGTTATAATGGGAAGTAAGTGTGACTATAACTGACATTTTAAAAACATGAATATAAAAGGGGGGAAGGCATACATTTGAGAGCAGACAACTGAGATGGTTGAAAGCTTTACAAAGGTTTGTGTGGTAAGAATGGAGAAGTGATGGGTTTTAATGATACAGAAAGACTTGAAGCCTACCTGGATTCTAGAAATGAGGAACATTAAAAGGAACTATTCAACAGTGCTAGCAACTCAAACATTGGAGGAGAAGGCATTGTTACAGCCACTTTAATGTTACTCTACATATTTGAAACACAAAGGTCTGGAGAGATAAGTAGATACTGCCATCCCTTCTGATCCATTTCTCCCTTCCCTACACAGCTCAGTGAGACTTGCTGGCTGCTAATTGGAGGAATGGACTTCCCTGCTCCACTGGTGGTCTGGGCTGTGTGGATCTTTTTCAGTGGAATGGTGGGCTGGATAGAAGTTGGGAGAGGGATCCACCTAAGAGTGCCCTTGTTCTATCTTTCAGTCAAGATAAGGAAGCTGTCTTACTCGGATGGTTTTCAGCCTGAGCTTGGGACTGAGCAGCACTGGATGCCACCGGAATTAAGCTGCAGCTGGCCACACATCAGCAAAAGTTATCTTGAGCCAGGATAATGTACGTTGGTTATTGCAAGGCACTGTGGTTTTGAAGTTGTTTGCTGCAGAGGAGACAGCTACATACACACTTTATAGTGAGAAAAACCAGGAGTCAGATAGGCTGCCAGAACTGTCCAGTGTTCTGTCCGGAAAATGTGCTTCCAAACCTGTGGGTTTCCATAGTCCTATAATGATTTTCTTTGTGATAAAACAGACTGTTGAGGAGTTTATAAGGTTAAACCAGAGCCTCTGTCTGTTATGTATCCAGTGAGCACTGTGTGCCACTGGAGTCTACTGGCCATTTATTCTACATGCTCTGAGGTATGTTTTAGTGTTCTCTAAGCATTTATCCTGTCTGCTGAAGCTCACTGTTTACCTGATTTTACAAACTTTCTCTCTGGAATGGAGAGCAGTAATGATGCAGCATATCCTTAGACTCACTTCTATTTGCAGTGTTTATGATTGAACCCTGGGCCTTGAGCATGCTGGAGACTCGCCCATTCATCTATAGTCCCAGTTGCTTAGGCTTGGTATCTTTCAAAATCATCTCATACAAAATCTTACATAATTCTATCATTTGTGAGGATAAATCACAAAGGTATCATAAGCATATCCCTTCCCTTCACTCTAAATTCTCTGGCACTAAATTATATCCCGAATCTCCCCCTTTCAGGAAGTGGAGAATTGTGAAGAAGTATCTCTAGCTGGTGATTCACAGTACAGCATACAATCAAAATGGGTGCAGTCTGGCTGCACTGTTAGATGACTGTGACATCACCTGACTGGTCTCTTTTGCAGATGTGGATTCTGTTTCGTGCCTTTTTCTTTTTTGGGGGTAGGTGGGAGGTGGTTTGAACTCAATGACTAAAAGCTTCTCTTTGCAACTATGGGGCAAGAGATGCAAATATTAAACTGTGAGTTAGTGTTCATTGTATGTCCCTGGGTAAGTTTCAGTAACATAAAACTTGTAAAATGTCAGACTCTCCCTTCCATCTTAAATCAAGCTTGCACTTCCATGCTCATGGACAGACAGTGTGAA